TGGCAGGCAAGTGCGGACACGACATGTATGAATGAGATGAGTGGACGAGGAGGAAGGGTAGTAGAGAAAGATGAAGGGTGATAGGGGAGGATGCGAAGGGATAGTTGCTGCTTTTACTGCTGGTGCTTGGCCCATCTGGCAACACGACACAAAAAAACAGGGAACCTGCAGAAGTGCGTCCAGCTGCGTGGCCATCTGGCGCCTCTCAGCGCGCTCCAACTCCAACGCCTGGCGTAGACGTGCGAGCTCCTCGCCAATATGTTCCTCGGCTTGCACTTTTTCCCCTCCTCCTCCTCCTGCTCATCCTCGTCGTCCTCGCCGCTGTCCCCGTCCTCTTCTTTGAGGAGAGGGGAGGGGGCGAACGGATATGTGTATACACATGTAATTAAACATAGTTGCACATAGTTGTGTATACATTTACACAGATATGCGTAGCACCCCGCAGATACGGATAAGAGTGAGGGGGCGGTGGGGACGTCGACAATTTGCGAGACTCTGGAGAAGCCAGCCGCAGGCGCCCAAGTTTTGCAAGTTGTGCAACGAGCCCTCCGCAGGCGCCGATCTTTTCGTTAAACCAATGTGGGTAGGTCGCGGGTGGGTCGCGGGGTGGGTCGCGGATGGGTCGCGGGTGGGTCGCTGTTGGGTCGCGGGTGGGTCGCGGGTGGGTCGCAGGGTCGGTCGCGGGTGGGTCGCAAGTGGGTCGCGGGTGGGCCGTGGATGGGTCGCGGATGAGTCGCAGGGTCGGTCGCGGGTGGGTCGCGGGTGGGTCGCGGATGGGTTGCGGGGTGGGTCGCGGGTGGGTCGCGGGTTGGGTCGCGGGTGGGTCGCGGGGTGGGTCGCAGGGTGGGTCGCGGGGTGGGTCGCGGGGTGGGTCGCGGGGTGGATCGCGGGGTGGGTCGCGGGGTGGGTCGCGGGTGGGACGACGACGACAAACAAACAAACAAACAAACAAACAAACAAACAAACAAACAAACAACAAAAACGCAACAAGCAGAATCCTCACCACGGATACCCACTTCAGCCACGCACCCAGGGACAATGAATGACCGTTCGGCCCCCTCACTCTGATATTGTTGTTCCTTCTCCTTCCCTCATGTGTCCTCTTCCTATTCCTCTTCTTCATTCTCGCCTTCATTGCCCCAAGAACTCTTCCCCGTCCTCAGATTTGTTTGCGAAGGCTCCTCCGAGGCGAGCTTCGAGAGGACCTGGCGAAAGCTTTTTAGGGCCTCTTTGGGCGCCTGTGTTGACGTCCTTGTCACCTTTTGGCGGCCTCTGGGGGATCCTCAGGACACCATGTCGCGAATCGTTAACTCGGGTTACATTTTGAAAGCTTCTGGGCGTCTCGGGGCGATCTCGGCCTGTCATGGGGCCCTCTGTGGGCAATTTCTGGACCTTCTCGGGGGAAACATTTTTTTCGGTCGTCTTGGAGCGGTTTTCGGTGCCTCTCGGGCATTCTCGGACGCCCGGAAGACCGAATAACTGAGGAGCTCAAAATCTTACAAGCACCAGTGGAAATCAACCTCTTCTGCGATTCGGAAGCCTCTCGGGAATGATAAATTGGGCCGTCTTCGGGCGTCTGGCGGGGGTGCGGTGCTGCTGGAGGCCATCTTGCACTGTCCTGGGGGCCTCGTAGAGCCGCTGCTGACCGATTTGCACAATTCGGCGAGTCCTGGAAATCCCCCAGGACTCCTTCCAGGGGCGTCCAGCAAGGCCCTGGGGACCGGGATCTGGGGGTCCTGGTTCGGGGGGGGCCGGGTTTCCGCAGGGTCTGGACGAATTAAATTAGGTGAGGAAGGGAGGCTGTATACACATGTGTATATATACACACACAAGACTGCAGTGGCGCTTCGCGCCATGCACCTTGGTCCTTGAAGTTTGGCATGCAAGCGGAATGCACGAAGGTTAAACCGACAATTTAGCGATAACTCCTTTTTGCCTTTTCCGGCATCGCCGTTATAATAATGTCATTCGTTATCCGTCCTCCATGCTTCTTTTTCCTCATTCTCGCCATACCCTGCGCATTCTCCCGATCCTCCTCAGCTCTTTTTGCGGAGGCTCCTCCTTGGAGAGCCTCTGGGGGCCTCACAGCAGTTTTCAGGCTTTCCTAAGGCCTTCTGGAGGCCTCCTGAGCGTGTTCTGGGGGCCTCTTGGGGCTTCCTTGGGCCACCCTGCCTCCAACCCCGATCTCCCTGAACGACCGGGTCACGATTTGGAATGCTTCAGAGGGTGTCTTGGGACCATCTTGGGCCGCCATGGGGCTCTCTTAGGGCCATATTGGACCCCTGTTTTGCCGTTTTGGGGCTCTCTTGGACTGCCTGGAAGCCCTTTCGGATGTTTGTGGGGCGATTTTGGAGCCTCCCAGGCGGCTTCGGACGCCCAGAAGACCGCCGTCTTGGAGCGTCGGGAAGCCGAAAAAAGGAGAACCTCCAAATTCCCCAAAAACCCACAGAAAATCCATGATTTTGCCTCTTGGGGCCTTCTTGGGAAAGCTCTTGGAGGCCTCTTGGGACGTTTCGGAACGTCTTTGGGGGTATGACGGCTTCTTGGGGGTCGTCGTGGACCGTATTGGGGCTCTCTGGGGTCGTTTCGGGCGCGCGCAGGAACGCCTGGAACCCGTCTGGGGCCGTCTTCGGGCTCTCGTGAGGTTCTCCCGGGTCGTCTGAAGGGTTGCCTGGAGGCCCGGGGAGGGCCAAATTCGTTGGGGGGGGGGGGCGTGCTTCTTTCGGCGTCCCCGGCCCTATAAAAATACATGAATAGGAATTTGGCCCCGATTGGGCCCCAACAAGTGTCCAAGACGGCCCCACGTGCCCCCCATACGCCGAAAGAGGTCCCAGAAAGCCCTGATAGTCTCCAGAAGAACCCCAACTGGGACCGAGAGAGATCCCCTAAGGTCTTAGGCGGCACTTGAGAAGCAACACGTAGGTCATATTTCTAAGCTTGAACAATTTGTTTCCGATTAGCCTTCGACTGCACAATGTCGAACTCCTCTTGTGCAAGAAGGCCAATGACGATTGCTAGGGGCCCCACCGGGTCCCTGGCGGTTCCTCGGGGATTTTTCTGCGTTTCGGGAACATTTTGGGGGTCTTCTTTGGGTGGTCTTCGGGCGTCTGGTCAGCCATTGGGACTGTTGGGGCCCTCGGGGGGCCGTTCCGCCGCCCTCTTGACCGCCTTGGGTTCTTTGCCTAGGCTCACCAGGCCCTGACTGCCTAGGCCTCGTTACAGAAGCTCCGGGAAGCCCATGGAACCTTCTGCAGTGGCGTCCAGGGCCGCGGATCTGGAAGGTCCCTTTTTGGGGAGGGGGGGTCGACCCCTCCTCCCCAGCTTGCAACACTTCTTATATATAATACACATATAGAAAAGAGGCTGTAGCTATGTGTACGTATGATGCATGTGTATGCATATGCGCGTGTATATCTATAGGTATGTGCATGCATGTCTGCTTATACGTAGCTGCTTGTCTGTATGTATGCATACATATATGCATGTCTGTATGAATGTGTACATGTATGCATGTATGTCTGTATCTATGTATGAATATATGTATGTTCGTATGTTTGTCAGTCTGGCTGTTCGGTTATATGCATACCTGTACGTATGTTTACAAATGTATGTATGCATGCATGCATGTATGGACGTACACATATATGCATGTGAACATGTATGCGTACATGTATGCTTATACGCGTGCATGCATGCATGCATGCATGTATACTTGTATGTCTGCATGCATGCATGTAGGTATATGCATGTACGTGTGTGTATGTGTGTCTGTACATATGTACATATGCATCTATGCATGTATGTGCACGCCTGTGTATATGCATGCATGCATGTACGTATGTAGGTACGTGTGCATGTATGTTTGCACGTTTGTCTGTATGTATGTATGTATATATGCATGCATGTATGTATGCATGTATGTATGTATGTATGTGTGTATGTATGTATGTATGTGTAGGTATGTATGCATGTATATATGGATGTATGAATGTATGTGTATATGTTGGTCTAGATGTCTATACATGCATTTATACATGTATGTTCACATGCATGCATGTATGTATGCATGCAAACATGCATGTATGTATGTGTGTAGATATGTGTGTATGTATGTATGTATGTGTGCATGCATAAGTACATCAGTGATACAAGCGTTCTGTCATGAATTAAATGTTCATCATATTGCGTCACGACTATATCCCGCCTGGTGGGATTTCTACAACCGTGTGTTTTACGTCGGGATTCTCAACGACACCGTTCTACTTACTAATATATACAAGGAAGAAGCCCCGGATTTAGAAATCCAGATATTTGATCCGTCTGCTCCTTGACCCAGCCCGCTGGGATTCTTGGGGGGAAGGGGGGCAGCTTGGCGCGGGGTCAACCTTTGCCCGCCCGCTCGCGCGGAAGTAACGAACGAAACCTGCATCAGATTGACACTCCCATAGAACATGACGAATTTTTGTCACTGTTTAGCGGTATTTCATGCGCTGCGCGGCGAGCGTCGAGTGCCTGCTGATCCGACGTGGCAGGCAGAGTCTTCCTTATTATGTGGCGTTGCGGGCGAAGCTTTTGTGGGCGGGGGTGAGTGCAATGACATGGAACGATGAATGATGATGAATCGCCATCGTGGGTCCCTCAGCGGTATTTCAGGCGCTCCGCGGAAGAGCGTCGAGTGCCTGGTGATCTGGCGTGGCAAGCGGAGCCTTCCTTATCTGGCGTTGCAAATCTTTGGTGCGCCGGGGTGAGTGCGATGACATGGAACGATGAATGGTGATGCATCTCCATCGTGAATCCCTCATCATTTTTAACAAAACGTTCCGTCATGAGTTCGAATTTCATCATATTGCGTGGGCAGGGCAATATCCCTCCTGGTGGGATTTCTAAAACGGTGTGTTTACGTCGGCATTCTCGACTCCCCCGTTATGATTTAGAAATCCCGGATCTTTGATCCGACCGCTCTTGGCCCAGCCCGCCAGGATTCTTGGGGGGATATGGGGGGCAACTTGGCGCGGTCGGGACAGGGGTCAGCCTTCGCCCGCCCGCTCACGCGGAAGTAACAAACGAAACTTGCATCATCTTAACGCTCCCATAGAACATGACGAACTTTTGTAAGGGTTTAGCGGTATTTCACGCGCTGCGCGGAGAGCGTTGGGTGCCTGGTAATCCCGCGTGGCAGGCGGAGCCTTCCTTATCTGGCGTTGCAGGCGAAGCTTTGTGCGCGGGTGTGACTGCGATGACATGGAACGATGAATGATGATGCATCGCCATCGTAAACCCCTCAGCGGTATTTCAAGCGCTGCGCGGAGAGCGTCTAATGCCTGGTGATCCGGCGTGGCAGGCGGAGCCTTCCTTATCTGGCGTTGCAGGGGAAGCCTTTGTGCACGGGGGCGGGTGCGATGACATGGAACGATGAATGATGATGCATCGCCATCGTGGATCCCTCATCAGCGTTACAACAGTTTCGTCATGAATTCGAATTTCACCATCTTGCGTTGGGAAGGGAAGATCCCGCCTGGTGGAATTTCTCAAAACCGTATGTTTTTACGTCGGCATTTTCAACTACCCCGTTTCACACACACACACACACACACACACGCACGCACGCACGCACGCACGCACGCACGCACGCACGCACGCACACACACACACCACACACACATTCACACACATATATATACACACTATTGTATAATTGGATGACATCCCGGATTTAGACATCCCGGATCTTTGATCCGACCGCTCTTGACCCAGCCCGCTCGGACCCTTGGGAGGAAACGGGGGCAGCTTGGCGCGGTCGGGACAGGGGTCAGCCTTCGCCCGCCCGCTCGCGCGGAAGTAGCGGACGAGACCTGCATCACCTTGACGCTCCCATAAACATGACGAGCTTTTGTAAGGGCGTAGTATGTTTGTATATATGCGAACATATGTATATAGAAATGAAGAAATCAGTCAAGCACATATCCTTGCCTGTGTTTGGGGTGGGTGGGAGTTCCCCCCAGGCCGCACCCTCCAGATCCTTGGTCCCCATGGTCTCCGCGGACGCCCTCGCAGAGGGCCCCCTGGTGCCCAGGTGTCTTGCGTGTCGGTGGGGAGGCAAGATTCATCCACATCCACCGCCTGGGCACCGACGTCCTGGGGTCCCAGCGGGCGGTGCATACAGATATACTTTGGCCCCCGGGGGAGGCGAATATATCAATATCCACAGCTTGTGTAGGCTCGTGAAACTCGATTTTTTAGGCTGCGGTTACGTATGAATCTGGGCTTGGGGCGGGAATTTGTAAAAATGGGCCACCCTTGGACCTGGGGACTCGGTTGCCGCTTGTTGCCGCTGATCACTCTTCCTCTATTTTTCGCATGCTGGGGGATGGGGGAGCTGGGGGGGAATCCTCCCCTCCCCCCCCTTCCGAAACGGAACCCCGCAGATCTGTGGCCCCAGGGGCCCCTGGGCTTTCTGGAGCTCGTGGACGCCCCTGCTGCGCTTGGGCAACAAGCCCAAATTTTGTCTTCGTCCCTCCTCCTCCCCCTCCTCCTCCTTCTCCTCCTCCTCCGCTTCGTTGTCGTCGTCGTCGTCGTGGTCCTCGTCCTCCCCTTCGTCCTCCTCTTTTGTCGCCGCTCTCCTCTTTTTCCGCCTCCTCCTCCTTCTTATCCTCCTCTTCCTCCACCTCCTCCTCCTCCTCGTCTTTCTCCCTACTGCTTCTCTTTTGCTCCCAGGGGAGGGCTCCTCGTCGGCGTTGCGACCAGCTGGCGCTGCGATCCCCATCTCCGGGGCCTTGGCAGCGCGGGAGAAGACGAGGAGGGAAAGGAGAGGGTGGGAGGATGAGGATGAGGATGAGGATGAGGATGAGGATGAGGATGAGGAGGAGGAGGAGGAGGAGGAGGAGGAGGAGGAGGAGGATCAGGGTAAACCCAAAAGTCATCAACGATGTTGGAATAACCCCCCCTCCAAGCTCCATTCTTCACAGGACCCTACAAGGGCTCATTTCCACTGAGGGAACTGCCTCGTTGGAAGACAACTGTTTGAAGGCCCTGATGCATGTCAAAACATCGTTCTCGGGATCCCAATGCCACGGAGCAACCTGACTGTTGCGTCTTGACGATCCTGAATCGTGCCAGAGCCATTCTTGGGACATCAACACCGCGAATCAACGTAACTGCTGCGCCCTCATAATCCTGAATCCTTCCAAGACACCATTCCTGGTAGGCTGGTCATGGGAATCCGCAAAATTCTTGCAAATGTTTACAACGAATGTGCGCGGCGCTAAGGCGAGAGCCACACTTTGAAAAAGAACCGCCCTCGATCTGCGAAGTGATTGCAAATGTTTAAAACGAATGTGCGCGGCGCTCAGGCGAGAGCCACATTTTGAAAACGGGTCATCCTCCATCCGTGAAGCTCTTGCAGTTGTGTGCAGCGAATGTGCGCGGCGCTCAGGCGAGAGCCACATTTTGAAAACGGGTCGCCCTCAACCCGTGGAACTCTTACAACTTTTAAAAGCGAATGTGCGCGGCGCTAAGGCGAGAGCCACATTTTGAAAACCACCCGCCCTCCCTCCATCTGTGAAACTGTTGTCAATGTTTAAGCTTCAGTGTCATAAGTGGTGAGGAAATCTCAGGCGAAACGCCCAGACCGCCCTAAAAACTGGCCTCTTGGTGCGACAAGAGAAATTACTTATAAGGAAAAGGAATGGAGGAGGAGGATAAAGAGGAGGAGGCGAAGGAGGAGGAGGGTGGAGAAGGAGGATGAGTATTGATAACTTCGTGATGATGCCAATCAATCCAAAACACCCTCAGGCCCGACTAGGCCGTTCGGCCCTGCCGGAGGCCTCAGGGAAAGCATGCCTGCAGAAAGGATCCAGGTACGCCCTCCCGGTGTCGCTCGGGGAACGCTGACACTCTTGTTTGACCCACGCTTGCAGGTTGGCCGAAAAGAAAAGCCCGTAAGCCCCACAGGTCCAGGCCCCAAGCGCATTACCAAATAGCATGCTGTGCTACTCGTGGGTCACCCCCCCAAGCTAGATGCAGCTTGCTACGCCGAGGCCTACGTGAAACCATGGCGTCGCCCCCCGAGCGGGCCCCAATAATATATATATATATATATATATATATATATATATATGTATGTATGTATGTATGTATGTATGTATGTATGTATGTATGTATGTATGTATGTATGTATGTACACACATATATACACCACCACCACCACGTCGATTCCTCCTCCCTCCTCCACCCTCGTCTTCCTCTCCTAGTTCCTGGGAGAGGGAGGGGATGAGGGAGGTGGTGGTGGTGGTGGTGGTGGTGTATACCTTTGGGCCTCGTACCCCATCAAGCTGAAAACAACTGAAGTCCAACCATTCACGCACAGTCTCCTGGGACACTACAGCTGTGACAGGTAGTGCACTTGAGCCCACAGTGGCTGAGAGTGCGGGCAGTGGCAAGCGTCGCCAACGCAACAGGAGGGGGCGGCGGAGGGGAGGGCACCGCGGCAGCCGTAGGAGCAACAGTGGCGCCACGCTGAGACATCCCGAACACACGCTGGGCGTTCTTGTCGGCTTCTGCACCCTCGAACGTGGCTCTCACGATACAGCGCCCTGGCAAGATTGACCCTGCGTTCAACATCAGCAGTGACTGCACTGCACGATTGGCTGCACGGATTTCTTGGATCTGCGCTGGACTACCCTCACTGGCCCGCGGAGCGCGCAGGGGACGGCGCCGGAGGCGCCGCTGGGGGGGACCAGGCGCCGATCCAAGAAATCCGCGCGGAGCGCCAAAAGCTTATGCTTATGCCGTTTCTTCTTCTTCTGCTTCGACCAACGGGGCGGTAAACCTGATCGCGGCCCCTTCAGCGAGGCACCCTCGAATGTGGCTCTCACGATGCAGCGCCCTGGCAAGACTGGCCCTGAGCTCAACATCAGCAATGGCTGCACGACTGGCCAACGGAACTGTACACCCGATCGCGGCCCCCTCCGCGAGGGCATCGGCAGCGGCGCTGCCGAAGAGGAGCCACGACTCGATCTCTCTTCGAGCTGTGTCCTCGGCCAAGAGACGGTAAGAGCGAATCTCGACGCCTATGCAGGCCAAAAACAAAATCGCAAGCACTATCTAAAGTGAGATTTCGCAGAGGGCAACGACGAAATCAATGAAGATTGTCAGTCTGGATTTCAGACCCAGCCCAGGCGGGCCCACTCCATTGATTAAAGCCTCCTGGTACCTTCGGAACCACAAGCTCGGACGGGCTCCTGGAAACGAGCTGCCTGCCTACTTCATACCAGAGGCTACGAAGAGCGCAGTTGCTCTCACGCCTGTAGACCTGGCCATGCCAGCCCCGACAGACAGCCTCAGCGTCAGTAGCGTAAGCCGTCGGCCCCTCCAGCCCCTTGCTGCGAACGCGGGGGCCCTCAGCTCTCCCTGGGGCTATGACTGCACCCGTCCCGTGAACGGGCTGGCAACCGAGGAGCCGATCTCACAAGCGTCACCGAATCCCGCAGCACCACTCTGCCCAGGCCAACCCACCTGAGTGACGGGTGCCGCCTGTCGGGACCACCTGGCGCGTTGTCAGAAACGATGAGGGGTCGGCCAAGGTGCCGACCCGTGGGCTGCCTGGAAAAATCTCCTGGCGGTCGATGGCAACCGTGGTCCGGTCCTCGACCTGCGCTGGCGGCGGAGTGCTGGTCCAGCTGCTGGGGATGAGCCCCCTGAGCCGGAAGCAGCTGTCCGCCGCAGCCTGCGCCAGAGACGCTGGCGTCCACTGATCTGAATCCGCGAGCGCCTCAGACTCCGCGTTGAATAGTCACAGCCAAACTCTGTGCAGCAAAGTTTCTGGTGCTCCTTTGCATCTCTGACTCTCGCACAACCCTGCTGCGTGCTTGAACGCTCGCGTCCAGCATCTCCTTATGGCAATGGTGACCATGCGCTCGGCCAACTGCTTGCCGTGGGGGACGTGGCTCGACCGCTGCAGCAATATCCTCGGGGAGTCATCGTCGGTCCCTAACTCGAGGCCGCTCCCGCAGAACTCCTCTACCGCCTTGGCGCAGAGTACCTTCTCTAGCGACTGCCTAGAAACACCATCCTTGGCGAAGGGCCCAACCATATGCAATTGTGGGCACCGCATTATGAATACAGCTTTCGGTGGAACTCCCTATGACGCCATGAAACAAGTAAGGGGTGTGCCGAAATGGGCCGGGGCCGCCATGTGAACCCTGCCACTGTAGCCTTCGGTGGAGCTCCCTGTGGGGCCACGAAGCGTGTGAGGAGTGTACCGAAATTTGGCGGGGCCGCCATGCGAACCCTGCCACTGGGGCCTTCTGCCAGGCTCCCTATGGGGCCACGAAGAGTGTGATGAGTGTGCCGAACTGGGGCGGGGCCGCCATGCGAACCCTGCCACTGGGGCCTTTGGTGGTGTCGAAGTGGGACGGGGCCGCCATGCAAGCCCTGCCACTGGGGCGTTCTGCCAGGCTCCCTATCGGGCCACGAACTCTGGGAGGGGTGTGCCAAAATGGGGCGGGGCCGCCAAGCGAGCCCTGCCACTGGGGCCTTTGGTGGGGGTTGCCATGCGAACCCTGCCAGTGAGGGGCGTGCAGTGATGATGATGATGATGATGATGATGATGATGATGATGACGACGATGACGATGACGATGATGATGATGATGATGATGATGATGATGATGATGATGATGATGATGGTAAAGATGATGATGATGATAATAATAATGGTGATGAGGAGGAGGAACAGGAGAAGGATGATGAGAATGATGATGACCATGATGCTGCTGATGATGATAATGATGATGATGATGATGATGATGATGATGGTGATGAGGATTCTGATGATGAGGATTCTGATGATGACGAACCTGCTGATGCTGATGATGTTGCGGATGGTGATACCGATGACGACCATGATGATGATGATGATGATGCTGATGCTGATGATGATGATGATGATGGTGAATATGATGCTGATGGAGATACAGATGATAATCCTGCTGCTGATGCTGATGATGCTGATGATGATGATGTTGCTGATAGTGATGATGATGATGGCGATGCTGCTGATGATGATGATGGTGGTGATGATGAGGATGATGATGATGATGACGGTACTGGCAATGAAATGATGGCGATGATGACACTGATGAGGGCGATTCTGATGATGACGATGCCGATGACGATGACGATGATGACGATGATGAGGATGATGAGAACGATGCTGCTGCTGATGATGATAACGGTGATGCTGATGATGATGATGATGATGATGATGATGATGATGCTGATGATGATGCGGATGCTGATGCTGATGATGACGACCAGAGGAGGAAAGAGGACGCAACACCGCAGCCGATGATCATGATGAAACCAATTATGATGGTTATGCCAATGCTGGTGATGGTGATGATGCTGATGCTGATGATGATGATGATGATGATGACGGTGATGCTAACTATGATGTTGATGCTGATGATGATGCGGGTGCTGATGCTGATGATGATGACGACCGGAGGAGGGAAGGGGACCCAACACCACAGCCGATGAACATGATGATGACACCAATTATGATGGTTATGCCAATGCTGGTGATGGTGATGGTGATGATGCTGATGATGATGATGATGATGATGATGATGACGGTGATGCTGAGTATGATAATGATGATGCTGCTGATGGTGATGCGGATGCTGATGCTGATGACGGCCGGAGGAGGGAAGGGGACCCAACATCACAGCCGATTAGCATGATGATGACACCAATTATGATGGTTATGCCAATG